TTAATCTTCAAAACTGAATCAGCCAACCCAACACAAAGTTATCACACACCAACGCAAAAATATCCACACAAGACACAGACGTTAGTTTGACATTAGTTTGACGTTATTTTGATGTAAGTTTGACGTTAGTTTAAAATTTATGTTAGTTTTATGTAAGTTAGATGTTAGTTTGACGTTAGTTTGACGTTAGTTTGACGTCAGTTTGACGTTAGTTTGACGTTAGTTTGACGTTAGTTTGTTGTTAGTTTGACGTTAGTTTGACGTTAGTTTGACGTTAGTTGGACGTTAGTTGGACGTTAGTTTGACATTAGTTTGACGTTAGTTTGACGTTAGTTTGACGTTAGTTTGACGTTAATTTTACTTTAGTTTGACGTTAGTTTGATGTTAGTTTGACATTAGTTTGACGTTAGTTTAACGTTAGTTTGATGTTAGTTTTACATTAGTTTGACGTTAGTTTGACATTAGTTTAACATAAGTTTGACGTTAGTTTGACGTTAGTTTGAGGTTAGTTTGACGTAAGTTTGAGGTTAGTTTGACGTTAGTTTGACATTAGTTTGACGTTCGTTTGACATTAGTTTGAGGTTAGTTTGACATTAGTTTGACGTTAGTTTGACATTAGTTTGACGTTAGTTAGACGTTATTTCACCTGTTTCATATGTTTACTGGATTGTTCTAATCTCTCTGACACAGCAAGGACGACCTTTCTCAACCTTATTTTTTCACGGGTCAACTCCTTCCTGGTTCGCCTAAATAGATCAACTTAAAGGAACTATCTACGTAATTCTAAGTAACTCTCCATATAAAGAGTTATATATCCGATTCACAACGGTTCCCTTTAAACGTTTGCTTGAAAAAGGTAAGCTTTAAACCTTTGTAGCTGAATAGTAGTTATATCTGAACATTGTTAGCTTTCAATTCACTTTCTGACCTTTGCAGCAGAGACAATAATGAAAACTTACAGAATGTGTCTCATTACAAGGTTGAAAACGACGATATCTTTCTCATTTTTTAGGTGTTCCGCTATGAGTTTGGCTTGTAAAGAAAAAAAGAGTCTAAATGTTAAACTGTTACAATTGTTTCCAGTTTAAAGTCTGAAATCATATAAAAAACATTCTTTTGGATAATTGAGAATAAATGAAACCTGAGTGCATCCTTGATATTTATGTACTCCTTCTTTAGTGCAGAGTACTCCCCTTCTAACTCCTTGTACTCCATCTCAACCTGTACATAAAGGTCATTGAGTACATAGTTTATAAATGTTTAGTACATACAAGCTAAGAACTATAAAAATAATAATAATGATACTAATAATACTAATAATCTAACGGATTTTTAATACTTTGTCTTATCATTTAACTTTAGACAAAACCGTTCTATTTTATAAATTAGATTTGCAATTGCCAACATTTTAATCTATCAGATAAAATCATAAAATCCAACAGAAACAAAACCACATTTTCCAACGGTTCAAAATATGGTTGAATATTTACAATGGTTGCATTGTCTTGTTGAGCGCTGCGTCTAGGACAGAATCGGGAAGTTGCCTTGAGGGAAATAGCACACTGCACAGTTGGGAAGTTGCCTTTTGGGAAATTACCCTTGGGAAGTTGCCGCTTGGGAAAAAGCCTTTCGGCAATTATAAAAATACAATGAAGATAACATTTAATTAACAATGCTTTGATTCCTAACAAGAATTATTCAAATAACAAGATTACACGTTAAGTTGTTGATTAAAGGGAATGTCTGGCTAGACATGATAATTGAGCTAAGAGTGCAGTAGTGAAATGAAATTTTTTCGAAGTCATTTAAAAAAAACTTTTTACCTGGCTGTCATGAACCCAGTACAGTACATCAGTCCAGCCCTCCAGTGTTATACACTGTACATAAAATTCTTAACAACGTAAATAAAAAGGGACTGTTAGCGATTCACAATTATGTTTATCTAATCAATAAGGTGGTTTTCTATTTTTCAGTCATGGAAATTCCTGTATGTTTTCAGAATTATCAACATTTATATCTAATTCATTCTTGATGCGACACAGCTTTAGAGACTTTAGAGAATGTTTTACATACTCATGGTTTTCAGCAGCTGTATTTTTTGCAAAACCATTTAGCAGCACATTTGCAAATACGTTATCTGAGACAGAAGATTTAATAATTCTGATTATTGCAGACATAAAAGTATCATGGTTCGTCATTTAAGCCTCAATCTCTCAGTCTCATAGAACACTTTTTTAGGATAATGATAAATTTTAAAAAGATTTTAGTAAAAAATTCTAAATTTTATACACCGGTATGTCTTATTGAT